TGTAAAAATGGTCGTTGTATACCGAAATTGTGGGTTTGTGATTTTGATAATGACTGTGGTGATGACTCAGATGAGCCTGCATTTATGTGTAGACAGCGAAATTGTACTACTGGATGGCAAAGATGCCCTGGTAAAACTAACTATCGTTGTATACCTAAATGGTTGTTTTGTGACGGTAAAGATGATTGTCGTGACGGATCAGACGAATTACCTGAAAATTGTCCAAAATGTCAATCAGCTGGAGATTTTCAATGTAAAAATAATAGATGTATACCAAAAAGATGGTTATGTGACTTTGAAAATGATTGCGGAGATAATTCGGACGAATCTGAAGATATGTGCAAAGGACTTTATAGACAATGTTCAGAATCAGAATTTCAATGTTCAAATGGAAAGTGTATACCGGGTCAATGGAGATGTGACCACGATGATGATTGTGGAGACAATTCTGACGAACTAAACTGTGGTGGATTCCAATGTAAAAATGGCACGTTCCAATGTAAGAGTGGTCATTGTATTGCATCATATTTCCGTTGTGATGGCGATAGAGATTGTAGAGATTTCAGTGATGAAATTGGATGTCCGCCACGATATCCAGGAGGTCGCTATTGTCCTGCTTCTAAATTTGAATGTAAAACTACCAAACTATGTATTTTCAACTCTGAACTTTGTGATGGAGAAGATGATTGTGGTGATGGTTCTGATGAAGCATCTGACTTATGCTGTAAGTATTGAGTATATTTTAATCAAATAATAAAATTTAATTTTTAATATTTTTTTAATAGCAAATTTAAGTTGTACATTGGATAACCGATTTTTGTGTGACAATAAACACTGTATACCTATGTACCAGCGTTGTGATGGAGTGGATAATTGTGGAGACGGTTCGGATGAAAATGATTTGAGTGTTTGTGGATTATCACAAAATAATAGACAGTGTGATCATTATACAGAATTCACATGTTCTAACCGCAAATGTGTTGACAAATCTAAACTTTGTGATAGGAAATATGACTGTGAAGATTTATCTGACGAAAAAGGATGCAGTAAGTTCTATGATTAATGATGTAATTAAATAATTAAAATT